ATACACGATTGTTTTCGTTGACGTCAGGAATAAATTGTGAATTCCAAAACCAAAGCTTTAATGACACTTGCTTTATTTAATCTTCTTCGTACATCGGATATATAATATGTTTGAAATAGGAAGGATAAAAGTATTGATAATCTGAATCTACATAACAAAAGTGGAGTACTTGTTTGTGATTTCAAATAACCGTCATTTTATAATCTCATGTGTTTATTTAAATGTTATAAAAAGCTAGCTTTTTAAAAGAATTTTGTCGGTCTTTTCGCTGGTCTTCCTGTAGGTTTTTCTGTCGGTCGTAGCGTTCGGACTAATTTCTAAGGTAGCTAAACCGAGGACGATGGGCTTTTCTTTCACTGGAAGGTAGACTATTTTGTCAGGTGTAACTTATGCTGCTTTTGTTCAACTTATTATTTTCTATTATATAAGGAAGAAAGTTTTTTTGTTAATATCTTTCATCTTTTATACAAATCAAAACTTTCATTCCAATCTTACTGAAAGTTACATGTAAACTCAAAGAAACAATTACTGTGATAATGTGATTTCGAAGAAAAAAAATCCGCCATCTCTTTCGTACCTCTTAAACAAAGATTAAGGTGATTTCTTCCTTTTCTCGCAAATACGGTACCTTGGAAACGAAGGAGATCTACTAAAATTAATTAAACCTTTCTGAAAGCTCATAAAATATTCTACTAAATGCCTTTTAAATAATTTAAGTACATCAATTAGTACTTGAGTTATTGGTGATAAAAATTGTCAAGTTTGTCGGAAGTATGAAACTATGCATGTGTGAAGATGCCTGTAGCAACTATGATCGCAAACATGGTGGGGCAGGCGATGACGGCACTAGGCGAGGCAGGGTGAGGAGATGTGTGATTATGTGCGGGTGATATCGGGTGGGACGGAAAATGTACAGGAATTCATTAAATATAGAATTATTCTGTCCTTTTTCTATTAGTTGATTATAATTAATGAATACATATCAACACATACTACACTTCCCTATTGCACAAAACGGGGAAACCAAAATATGAAGTTAAATATCCATCTTACTTGAATAATTTTAACCATGGTATCGTCAGTACATAAGGGAAGTCGCTAAGTCCAAAATCCGACTTTCGAGCTACATCAAGTTCAAGTTGATTCTGTTTACATTTACTTTGTCAACACCTATTTTTAGTTACGAGATATGACCTATTTTCTTTCACAATCGCTGATACATTGTATTTAAGAAACAAAAACGTTGAAAGATGGGTATTTCCTGCACATTTCTAATATTCTGTGACTTATTTAAATAATAAATAATCGATAACTTAATAATTAAAGAATCCAAAAATAATCTGTATTTATATACCGACGATATTTCTTTCCGAAATACCAAGAAAGCTACGTATTTTTTAAATTGTATGAATTGTTTAAAGTACAGAATAAGTCAATCTACAATTCGATTGTTGTTTCTGGCCCTACAATTTGTGTGAAAAAAACATAATTCCGTATTTATTATTAACAAGTAATATTGCACCATGTAATACGACATCAGTTCCCGAATTCAACCGGTTCCACCTCCACAGCCCGTGAGGGCAAGATCTCCGACCGGCCACAACACGACAAAACAACTACTCCACAAAAAAGCTCTTGGTATTATCGGAGCGGAAGAGCGGGGCGGAGCGGGCGGTGGGCGGGGCGGCAGGGGTTGCAGCCGTGCATACCTCAGGAGGCGGATGGGCCGGGGCGCGCTGGACAGCTGAGCGCGCGCTCGGGAGGGGAAAACCGGTCGGAGGAATCGGGGCGGGCGGCGAGGGCGGCCTGGCGATGCGTGCCCAGCCGCCAGCTCGTGGGATGCTGCGGGCGGCCCTGCGCTCACCACGCCTCGCACGCCACGCCGCCGCCGCGCCGCGCCGGCCGGGTCGGGGAAAGGTCTGGGGCGATTCGTGTAGCCGCCGCTGGCGATGCGGGAGTATCACGGTGTCTGTGCCCTGTGATGTGGGTGGACACAAGTGATAGATACATCTCAGGAATTCTTAAAAACCTACAATGTGCTCATTGCGTCAGTTTTATCTTACATTTGAAAGATATTCCCGTTTTTTTCCAAAATGTGAAAAGCACAACCTCGACGGCGAGTACACGCGCACATACACACAAGTTATAATTGTGTCGACAGAATAAATAGTTTAATGTAGTTGGATATGCAAACAAATCTACTGAAACAAATTCTTGTAGCATACTGTTTCACATAATATAAATAGAAGATTATGATGCTTCAAGCGACCTCTACTTAATATCAGTAAACAGCTGGAAGTATAAGATGCACTGTCTTCACTGACAGAATAAATATTGTTGTTGGGAGATTCTTTTTATGGGCAACAGAAACATGATTGACGCATTTTATGGCCAAAGAACTTGTAAATTCCGCATGAAGCCCCCAACTTCAAGAGGACCTATCAAGCATATAACCACCTTCCTTGCATTGCTGATGGGCGCTGAAACAAACATTCTAAATTCATTTCTATCTGGTTGCCTACCTGGTCGATTTTTCTTTAATAGGTCTGTCGACTCCGGTTATAGTGAACTTCTATGGACTAACATTTTTGGTTCACTATATCCGATAATATGAAAATTAAATTAAATGCTTCACAATAATTGATTTAATTAATACAAAGAAACAGCAAAAACATTAAAAGCACGAACTAAAAATTCCAATATCTTTATTTGACCCCAAAAGATCAATTATTTTCAACGGTTTGCAGGGTACATTTTTAATCAGTAATTTCTCCAGAACCTTCTCCCGAGTTCGTGCTCTCTTCATAATTGATTCAGCATTGCTCACTGTCTCTAATTATCGTAAAGCAGTCTTGACACTCTTCAATGTCTCTTGTACTGCTGGAACACCGTCTCATTCTCTGAAGTCCCTTTGATTTGGCTAATAACATATAAGATCTTTTCGGCAGCAGCACGGTGCAAGCGGCCAATGAAACTGATCGCTTTTCCGAGCGGCGCGGCAGTGTCGCCAGGCTGCGGCAGTCGTGCACTTCCTGCTGCTTAAGTAGAACACCACGTGCTTTGTCCCCCGGAATCTCAAGATCAAGCTTGAAAACGAAGCAAGCAGATGCGCGTCGCCGCCGCCAGTTGCAGCCCACACAGGACACGGCCTTTGTTCCCTAGCCGAAACTGTGTGCGACAAGATCATCAGTAAGGTCCCCATGACGAGTCCGCTTTTCCACCTCAAACAATACTTCTTCTATTATGATATTTGGAACTGAGACGATATATATATATATATATATATATATATATATATATATATATATATATATATATATATATAATATATATAATATACCCTCAGTCAGGAGGGATTTAATTTCTAGGACGTTGTACCTCCTACGTTCACTATAGCTGAGACGGGACTTGTGACGTTCATTATAACCGAGTGTTCGCTAGTTGAGAGTCCACTACAACCGGTGTCGACTATATTACAAAGAGAGCCTCCTGTGCCCACCGATACATGTAAAAGGTTGGAAATAGGAATGTCAAACCATATCATAACAATTTTGCCCCCTGAGAACCACTGATGGTCTCCACCGTGCGGCGAGCACCGACCAGGCAGGTCTTCGGATGGAAAACCCGTCTGCGGCGACGCCGCCTCGGGTCCGGTGCTTCCAAGAGGAAGACCGGCGGCGGCGGCCGCGACCTGCGTCTGCGGCGAGAGCTGCGTTCGGAAGCTCGTCAGGAAATCCCCGTGCAAGGCTGTTAATCCCGTTCGTGCGAAAGAGAGACTTCATTTTTCCTCCTTGGTGGCCAACCTGAAACGGTTTTATTTGGTGGTCCACCTTGGAGATGACAAACGTCCCTCACAGTCCCTGCCGGCCGATACACCGGGGCAAGCCACGCGCGAGGCGAGTGTGTGTGGCAACGGTGAGGGCAGAGTTCTCGAGCGAAGTCGTAAAGACTGACGTGATAAACTACATCACTGGTATCTCGCCTGATGACCTCTCGCAGCAAAAAGGAGTGGAGTGGTCCTGGACGCCCTAACACACATCTTGTCAAACAGAAGAAAAAAACAGTCCACTGAAACAGGTCGATGACATTACGTTTACTAATAATATCACTCAGTTCTAGAAGTATACCAGTTTAATATTAAAATTCCACTGGTGAATAATGCCACGTACGTGTATTTCTACAAAAGAAAACGATTTGTTTCGCTTTATCTGAAGAATCGCTCAAACACGACCCTCCCATAAGTACGAGGAAAAATTGACAAACGTCTAAAATTATTTTTCTTTTATAATTGTCAAAAAGTGAGTTCCTTGTCAGTACGACAGCCTATTTTGTAAATTAAAGAAAGATTTAAGGAACGAAAATTTATATCAATAATCCTTCAACAAGCACAAGCTATAATTATTTCGAATGTCAACTCGCGAACGGGAGACAAACACCAAACAATCACGGAAGAAGTTTCCACGTCCTTCGTACGTGCTTATAGCCGACTGACATTCACTCAAATCAACAGAGGAAATCGAATTGCGCAGACCAGCGTGAAACCGAAATTCGACTTTATCCAATCAAACACGGTCAGCCCACCTTTCCCCTCCGTAGTCGACAATGACACCGAGAAACGCCAAAAGAAGTACAAAAAAATACCGTCATCGAGAGGAAGGAACGACGTGACGTCACTCTCCGAGGCGGAAGCACTTTTCCGCACACGCACACGCACGGGCGGTGGCTCACGCAGCGACCGGACCTCGGCGGCGACTGGACGATTAACCCACCGGGCGCGGCAAGGTCTTCCCCGGCCGCCGCGGCTGACGCGTGCAGGTGGCGGTGAGTGGGCGGGCGGGCGCGAGTTTCGCTTTCGCGCACCGCCGTCGCCGCCGCCGCCACCGCCAGGGTTGGGGGTGGGGGCCGAAGACGCGGTGGAGGCGCCGCTGGTAGAGGGCGCGCGCCGCCCAAGGCCGGGAAGGCCCCCGCGCCGAGAGGCGGCTGGCTGGCCGGCCGGCGCGAGAGACGAAGGCAGTCGCGCCGCGTTCGTCGACGCGACCAGCTGCACCCCAGCGCAGGGAGCTCCACCGCTCCCGACACCCCGACACCGGCCCACCGCCGCCGCCGCCAACGCCTGCACCTACAGTTCGACGCCGCCGCCGCCGCACTCCGCACCCGCAAGGTACGTTCCCGCACTCTAATGCGCGGCTGCCGCTTACGGTGGCCAACGGGTTGAGATGGGACACCTGAACAGAGTATACTACACGTTTGTGGCCGTTTTGTGGACTCTATTATAGAGTCAATTCACCAGCTGTGTTCAAGCAACCAAGCGAATCTCACAGTCGGTAGTCTGTAACGGGCAGTTGAACACGCCTGAATTTGGTCTACCTCGTGTAAATGGAACACATTGCCGGCTTCAATTTTTAGTGATACTCTACTGAGTGAAATGTTGACTCACATCGCGTAATTGTTATTTAGCCCTGTATAATTTGTTCAGTTCTTAAGTGAAAGCGATTTCTCGAATTTCTTTATCATCACTGTTGTCGGAAACATAGGAGATGAATCACTGACCAAAATGGAACCACCAATTTGATTTCCATACCGTGGCGAGGCCCTGCAGAGAGCTTCCTGAGAACGAAGACGAGGAGTTGGAAGAGGTGCTACGTGTGGCTTTCCGAGCGAAGGGCCTCTCCGTGAAGCGCGCCCTGCAGAGCGACTCCATTTTTTCCCGCCGGCAGTGGCTTACCGCCAACGCGGACTTAAGTGAATTGCTAAGTCGTGTTCGGCCGGAGTTGGCGAAAAGAAAAGCCCGCATGCGCCAAGCGGCCTTCGAAGCGGGCAATGATCGATGGCAGACAGTGAGCTCTGTTCGCAGATCCCAGCCGTTCTCTCGTGGAGCTTCAGTGGAGTTCGCTACTGGCACGTGATATCAACAATGCCGTGGAAATTGGACACTTTATATTAAACAAAAAGGGTTCAATTCGCTAAGAATTAAATCCGCAAGCGAATACATCACTCAGTTTGGAAAAATACTCTTTTGCATCGTTATGTTAATAAATTCATCCATCGTGTTACCTAAGAAGATTTGTAAAGCGAATCATTTTAAAAATTTACCCCATATACCCGAATGGGAGGTTTATGTACTTTTGTAAATAATCAATGATCAAGAATTAATTACATCGATACATCTTAAAAGTATTATAATCATTATTCTGCTTACGTAAGAAAGTTTTCTGTAATTTCAATATAGTAGCCACTGTACGACTAATTACCTGCGAATTATGAAAATATTCATTATTAATCAAACAAATAAAAAGAGCTGTCAAAAATATAAATACTGTAAGTTTAATCAATAGTGAGAAGCTTTGATTTGAGAAATAAGCTACCTCCAACTCAAGCTCGCCCAGATTGACTGTATTAAATGTAAGCATTATGTTAGGAATATTGAAGAATTTATATTGCGGGAGACAATCGTTTGGAAAATGTCAAAACGAACGCCGGTTAAATGTTAACGACTTCAGAGAAAGCTTTCGATGGATAAATTTGCTATTATCGCCTGTTCGGTATGCATGTTTTCTTTCTCATAAAGTTCTCGTGGCAAGAAACTTGTCACTTCCTTTAATTTATCGTTTTTAATGTTTTAATATATTGCGTGATGCGTCAAACATATTTTCAGATTTTTTCACCAGAGGCTATTTACAGGCAAAACGTACATCTCATTTACCGGTAGATTTTGGGAATTCATTTTGACTCTCTGACGTAGCTTATAACTAAATTATTGATTATACCGCTTAATATTTTTTAATGATCATTTCAGGCTTTATTATATTTCTGCTTTCCAGACCAACTGAATACGTACATTACAGCGTATTGTACTGGACAAGATACTGTGTGAAATGCCGCATTGTTTCATGATTCGTGAGAGGTTTCTTGTAAAGTGTAAATAGAGCGAGAAAGATGATTACTCTAGATCAACAAGAAGAATGTAGCAATATGGAGAATGGGGGACAATACACTCACCATTCAAACAAAGCACAAAAAGAGAAGTTTTTTTTGGATCATTTAACACAGAAGTTTTTTACTTCAGGGTTTCCTTGAAACAGTTTTAGAGATCTTACTAATAGAAATAAACATACTCACATACATACCTTTGGGTTTAAGTAAATAAAAACTCTTCAATGGTACCTTAAATAAATATGAAGACATATATTACCTCAATGCATTGAAAACTATTACATACTGCTATGAAAAAGTTCAAAATGGAAGACGGGAGGCCCCTGCAAAGTATCAGACCCAGTCAGTACACGTGGAGGAGCTGTCCTCCCCTTAATTAAATCAGGGAGAGGGGACACATAGGCAAAAGAGCACTCTTCTATTAAATTTCCGGCTCAGTGATCAGGAAGTTGGGAAATTCAGTAAAGAAAGGAGGAAGGCAAGTGAATTATTACTAACTTAAATCTACGAAGAAGGAGAAGAACAAAGGCGCCACGAACCGAAGTAAAGCACACAGGGCTGTAAAATTCGGAGCCAGTAGAGGAGAACGAAGAAAGTGAAATTAAATATAATTAAATCAAAATGTGGAGTATTTCCAAGTTGAGCGGTGGATAATTTAACATTGAAAAATCTGCATGTTGAAGAACACTGGTAGATTTATTCATTATAGTCTACAGTTTCTCTCAATGAAAGATACGGAGTTGTCTGACACATTTAAATTTACGTGCTTCACAAACCGGTTCACTGGGGGACTAGCCAATCTTATTCTGGGTTGACTTTTTTTAACCGTCTTTCCTTGTTGACGAGTAACGGAGAGGTCAAGCTCGACTCTCACTCGGGGAAAGATCTGTATGTGCCTGGCAAGAAGCCAAACAGACCAGAAACCTCCTGCCTGACGAATTCTAATGCTTCTTAGGTAGTTGTCATGAGATATAGAGAAAATATAGCTGATAATGGTGGTGAGTGAAATTTCCAAGCATACATCACATTACTTTAATAACACAAATGTAAATATTTGCAATGTAGACTGCAAAATTAACGCGCGCATGATAATTTTGTTCATTAGCACCTAGCGTAGGTTTCTTTATTCTTGAAAGATATTTTCACACAATCGAGATCAAACGCTGAGGTAGACTTTGTGTCGATTTACTTTACTATCACCAGATATCAAATAAGATGTCTATAATTACAAAAAATTAAACAATAAATAAAAATAACTACAAATTACAATAAAGAAAATAAACAAGAGAAAATCTCCAGGTTTCCAAATGCATGTGCGCTAGGCGCTATGATACTAACCCGTCAAACAACCAGTTTGTTGCCGCCGCTTTCCGTTATTAACAAGTTAAACCTCACATGAGCGGAGGATTCAAATGAAAGAGATGGTCGGAATATAACAAATTTGCAAATATGCTTGTCCTTCCCGTCAGGCCTGAACCAAAATCAGTCAAAACTATTTTGAAGCTGAAACAACTTCACAGAGACCGCAGAATGCGTCGCCGAAAACAAACCTTTCGTGATGACCGTGAAAAAAATGTCCCGGAATTCGGACGCGTGAACTCACGCGAATGAAAGCAAGGTCTCGGAGGGCAACGTGGCGAGAACAAATCGTGAGACAGTGATGGATTTTTATCTCTCGCATTAGTCATGGTGAGCGTGTAGGTAAGGGACGCAGTTGCAGAAGCCAATTTCCTTCAGAAGCACTTGTGGCATATGAATGCCACAATCCTATCTCTTTATATAATAGGCAACGGAAATTTGATACTTTTTTCTCTTTATAAGAAACCATCCCCACAAAATCCCGTAACCGTGCTACTGTTGGAGAGGGCATTACCCTCAGCCCTGAATCAAAAACAGACGTTCGCAGATTGTGGTAAAGGGAAAAACGGGCCCTCTTGCGCGCCCGCACACTACAATCGTGCAGAATTCGAAACGATGTGTTTTGGGTTCTTAACATCAGGATTTCGTGTTTCTACTCCTGACACGACGTATGTATCTTATGCCGTGGTCTACATAATGGAAATATGTTGGTCATTCTATTGAATTTGAGGTGGGTACCCTCACTTCGTAGCACAGGTTGTCAAAAGCGTTTGAAGTCGGGTTCCAGCGTGAGACTTTCTCTTTTAAAACAATGCCGATTCACCTATTGCAGAGTGTTCGAACGGATCGACTTGATTTGTGCTAACTCACGGAAGACATACAGGAGGGCCAATTTATTCCATCCCATTCTATCGGCCCCAACAAAAGTGATGTGCGTCCCGCGGCGATAGGTGTCGGAAAGGCTGCGCTCCCGGCGCCACGCCAATGGAATGTAAACGGGGTATGCGAACAATCTCTGGGGGCAGGCTCCCGAATCGCCAGCACAGGGCGGCCGGGCGCGGGCGAGGCGGCGGCCGCCCGCCGTGCCGTGGCGCGCGGGAGCGGGCGCGGGCGGCGCCTAGCAAGAGTGCAAAGAGCGCGCTTCACGGGCCACCGTGTACTCGGCGCTGGACCGCGGCGATCCTGCCGTCGCTGCTCCTCTGTTTGTTCCGGCGCGCGGGCGGGAGGGTGGGTGGGGGCGAGAGGGGCCGTCGGCCCTTCCCGCCGCTCCCTCTGACTCCACTCCCTTGAGTGCTTCCTCGCGGAACTGGCGCTCTCGGCGACGGGCAAGGGGACGCGAAGAGGCGGGGGTGGGAGGAGGAGGAGGAGGATGGGCGGGCGGGGCGGGCGAGGAGCGTCGAGAGCGCCGTCGCGCTGACCCGCTGGGCTCGCACTACGTTTCGCAGAACGCTCCCGCCGCTCTCTTCACCCCTCCATTATAACGTTCATCACGGCGCATTTAATTGTTCCCGGGAAAACCGTAACCCTCTCGACTCGGGGATTAACTCCTACTTCAAAACACAACGGAACAAGCTTTTCAGCGTTAATACGAGAGCTGTATAGTTTTACCCGCGCTTCCGCGCGCGCGCGTGTGATGCGCAACATTTCAACAGAAGCATCTAGCCTGATTTTCTGAATCTGCTCTCGCGCGTCCTCGCGAAAATGCGAGGCAAACACGGCTCTGAACGTTCAGGGAGCAGATACACCTGACGCTTGAATCTTGAGAAGCAACGCGGCTTCTTCCTTGGTCCGGCCGAGGAGGAAAAAGAAGCAGCATGTTTTGATGACGGCAAAGAACGCGCGATGAGTTGCCATTTCGGCGCGGCGGGG